AGAATGACTGTCTCTATTGCTGAAATTGTAATTGAAGATTTACGCTACTGCTGTCGCATTTGCCTTGAGCAGCCGCATCGTGCTCAGATGCTAGATATGAATCTCATATATGATGAGGAAGCTCAGCTTACATATTACGATTGCTATGAAATATGCACAAAGAATAATCTGCGAGAATGCAGCGAGCATGAGCCTCATACATTATGCAAGCACTGCGGCGTAGAGCTACAATGGGCCTATGACTTCCATAAAAAGGCTGCACAGGCCAACAAGCAGCTGCAAAATATGSAATCTATCGTACATAGCGAGGAACAGATCGATGAAGCTGACATARATGAATTGGTACATGTAATGCCTGTGGAAGAGGATACCATAAATGAAGTRGAACTGGAAGAGCCAGTAGAGCAAGMAATCAGTGAAATTGATACTGTAGACTCTGCCCCAACGATAGTTTGCACGAGTGTCAACGATGTTGTACCSCGTCAACGTTATTCGGGTCCTTTTAACTGTGAATTCTGCCAGAAAGTCTTCCGGAATCATTCGCATATGTTGAAGCATCAGCTGATACATCTCTCGGATCGTCCGCACTTCCAGTGCAACGCCTGCGATCGCTTTTATCTCACCAAGCAGGCGCTAAAAGTTCATGTGGACACACAGCACAAAAAGTCCGGCAGGATGTGCGGTATCTGTGGCAAAGTGTTCGCCATAGCCAAAGGTCTTGAAATACACATGCGCTATCACAATGGCTTCTTTCCCTTCGATTGCGATCAATGCGATCGCAAGTTCGCGCAGCGCTCCCACCTGAATATCCATCAGCAGGTGCGRCACAGCAGCGCACGTTTCCAGTGCGAGTTTGCCGGCTGTGGCAAACTATTTACCTCGTCATCGGCACTGCGTAATCACGAGTGCACCCACACCGAAATGCCCTTCGAGTGCAACGTCTGCCAGCAAGGATTTCCGGCTCGTTACAAGTTAGTACCAGTCTCGTTTGGCTTTGTAATTCCTGCCTGTCCATCTAATGAATTTTAATCTCTCCTTTGATGCAGATTGCGATTGCACGCTCAACGCAAGCACAACATGCAACTGACACTGGCGCAACTGGAGACCATGCGCAAATTTCATATAATGCGCTCAAAGCGTGTTCTGGCCAAGCTCGATGCAACACAGCATCAGCA